AATAGCTGAGTGATTAGCTTGTGACTGGTCACAGAAATGGCTATGTTAAAGTTAAAGCATACACATCCACAGAGGCACCCCTTGACAAAGGAATTAGCATAGAATTTAGCATTGAAATGGCTGAGTGATTAGCTTGTGACTGGTCACAGAAATGGCTATGTTAAAGTTAAAGTATACACATCCACAGAGGCACCCCTTGACAAAGGAATTAGCATAGAATTTAGCATTGAAATAGCTAAGTTAAATCATACACATCCGCAGAGGCACCCCTTGACAAAGGAATTCGCATAGAATTTAGCATTGAAATAGCTAAGTTAAAGTATACACATCCGCAGAGGCACCCCTTGACAAAGGAATTAGCATAGAATTTAGCATTGAAATAGCTAAGTTAAAGTATACACATCCACAGAGGCACCCCTTGACAAAGGAATTAGCATAGAATTTAGCATTGAAATAGCTAAGTTAAAGTATACACATCCGCAGAGGCACCCCTTGACAAAGGAATTAGCATAGAATTTAGCATTGAAATAGCTGAGTGATTAGATAAGAGCGAAGCTAGTTCTAGCTAGAATTCGTTTTGCATTGAGAGAAGTTGCAGCAGCAGAGGTTAGTGTAAATATGATTGGTATTACCTTAAGAGTCGCGGCATCTCTTCAGAAAGGTGAGAGACTCGATTAGTTGAGCCTTCTTATCCCGGAGTCTGTTGAATGATCTTAAGGTGGTGTGGAATCCCTCCCCGTAGAGGCGGTTAAATCTCGATTGAAAGCTTTCGTGACTGCAAGGATTCATCTTCCTTTGGTTCTTTTGGCAAAAGTCACCGCCACCACGTAGAATGAGAATAAAATAATAAATTGATAAAATAACAATAACACGATTAAAATTCTCACGATCGTTTCGGCCACAGCACACCTGATGAAGGCCGCTTGTGTTGTGGCCGAAACGTCGTGAGAATTTTATTGTTATTTTATTTTATCAATTTATTATTTTATTCTCATTCTACGTGACTTTACCGAAAGAACCAAAGAAGATGATGTATACACATCTGAGATTTTGTGTTTCCCCTCTCTCGTAAAATTTAGCTCTTCCGTACCTGACGATGGCCGCTTGCGTCGCTACCGAAACGTCGTACGCTATTACGTCGTTTTACTATTTCCTATTTACACGCGGCCTTACCCAATTAGGACCAAAGGGGTTGTCTTGAGCCCTCCGCCGGGCAGCCTTGGACCGGCGAAGCCACGGCAGAGAAAAGGAAAACTGCCCGGGGTCAGTGTCACGGCGACACACCAGCGACACACCCACCACGCCCCGTGCCGAATATATTTGGTGAACTCGTCCGCACGAAGCCACAGCCCCCGGTACACACACACACACACTCTCTCTCTGTCTCTCTGTCTGTCTCTCTGTCTCTACCGCCACGAACGGTGCGAATGCTCCCTCGGTTCTATTCGCTAAAGTCACGTAGGTAACAAATAATAGACATTACATTTCGATTTAAAGATTTCGCGACTGCAAGGATTCATCTTCTTTGGTTCTTTCGGTAAAGTCACGTAGAATGAGAATAAAATAATAAATTGATAAAATAAAATAACATAACACAATAATATTCTCACGACGTTTTGGCCACAACACAAGCGGCCTTCATCAGGTGAAGGGACGAGACTGTCTGGTAGGACAGCGCTGGAGTGAAAGAGCCACGTTCAGATCACGACCTTTAAGCTGTGTGAGAGGAAACAAAGCGCCCTCAACTTTAGCACCACGGATAGCTACGGGCCCCGTTCAGACGGACGAGTTCATCCATGGTCGGAACAGAGGAGGGGGAGAGAGACAGCTTAGAGTCGCGGCATCTCTTCAGAAAGGTGAGAGACTCGATTAGTTGAGCCTTCTTATCGCGGAGTCTGTTGAATGATCTTTAACCGAAAGAACCAAAGGAGATGATTTTATGCAGTCACGAAAGCATTAATACTTTATATTCTTGGCTCTTTCGGTAAAGTCACCACGTCGAAGGGAAACAATAAAATAATAATATATATAAAACAATCAAAATTCTCACGACGTTTTGGCCACAACACAAGCGACCGCCTGATGAAGGCCGCTTGTGTTGCGGCCGAAACGTCGCGAGAATTTTACTGTGTTATTTTGTGTTTATTATTTTATTCTAATTCTACGTGGTGACTTTACCGAAAGAACCAAAGAAAATATATTATTATTTTTCACCTACTACCACTACTTGACTTTACCGAATAGAACCAAAGAGTATGGATCCAGTCACGAAAGCTTCCAATCTAGAATTGATGACCTCTACGGGGGAGGGTTTTCACCTGTCAACAGACAACGGGGCGAGAAGTCACAGCTCATCGAGACGCTGACCTTCCTCATTCGTGACTGCAAGGATCCACACTCTTTGGATCCATTCGGTAAAGTCACGTAGTAGGTAAAAAAATTAAAATCTAGAATTCATGACCTCTACGGGGGAGGGTTTTCACCTATCTGTTAGAGCTTTCAACAGACAACGGGACGAGAAGTCGCAGCTCATCGAGACGCTGACCTTCCTCAAAAGATACCACGACCACAAGGTAATGCCCATCGCCTTAAGCTAATTCCTTTGTCAAGGCACCTTAATTACTCCTACATGGCTCAAAGGTACACGACCTGGGCTTGGCTTTCTTCACTCCCAACGCCGTCCCCCGGACAGGTCCGGTCCCTTCGACCTGACGAAGGCCGCTTGTGTTGTGGCCGAAACGTCGTGATTTTTGTTATTTTATTTTGTCACCTACTACTACTGCTACTACGCGACTTTACCGAATAGAACCAAAGAGTGCGGATCCTCGCATTCGCGAAAGCTTCCGATCTAGAACGGGGCGAACGTTGCGCTCGGGCGTAGCGGCGAGATTCGGAGGGACCGCTCCTTGCGGTTCCTCCGGGGGCGGGCGGGGGCGGGGGGGGGGAGAGCAGAGAGATTGGCCTAGCGCACGGCGCCTGATAAACAGCAGCTTGGAGGCAAGCAACCACGCCAATCGGTGATCGCAAGGACCCGCCAAAGTACGCCAACTCTGGAGAGAGATGCTGGCAGGTGCATCGTCGCGGACGTGGCCGAGTTTATATCCCACCTACCCACCCACCCACCTACCCACCCCCCCCCGACAGTGGGCGACTGCCAAAGCGCCCGGGGGAAGCTCGGATTACCACGCCGGCTGGTCAAGGCGGGCGGGCGGGCGGGCGGGCGGATGGACAGCGATTGTTTGTACTCTTTGGTTCTATTCGGTAAAGTCGCCTACTACCGCTACTACTACGCGACTCTACCGAACGCGACCAAAGAGTGCGGATCCTCGCATTCGCGAAAGCTTCCGATCCAGGGGCGGTTGTTTGATTTCCTGTGTTCCAGTTTAAATGTCGAGCGATTCCTCGATTCGACATCGCGAGCAGAAGCGATCCAAATTGTTCTTTGAATGCAAATTCCCGCGCGTTATTTTAGCGGCCGTTTGAATTCAAATCGTTCGTTTTTGCCGTTATTTCTTAAAAGGGGGGGTGGGGGGGGAGATGTTGGGGGAGTCACGTGGTACGGGTAACGCGTCATTGTTGCGGCATGACGTCATTACGTCATTACGACGTCATTACGCCATTACGACGTCACGACGACATCACTGCTCGTTCGAACATGGCTGCCGATCTCAAGGCACGAGTTGGCTGTCATTATTCATTGAATCGATAACAGTGGCGATGGCGGTCGTGGTGGCGGAGGTATAGCGGTGACGTCACCTTTACCTCGATTTAAGAACAGAAACAGGAAGACGTCTTCGCAATCCTCGCAAATCACCTGGCGAGGCCGCTTTTGCAATAACCACAGCACTCGAGTTGTAGATATTGTGGGTTTACTCTCCGCTGCACCAGTCATTAATTGGCACGTTTTAGTTTATCTGGCAAAACCTTACTCTTGATTGGCTGTGCCGGGCGGTGGTAGATTTAACGACACTTTTTTTCTGTAATATTTACGCGATTTAACCCCAAACACAAACCTTTATTGCAGATCGTTGTTGGTCGTACAAGTCTACGTGTTACACGGAGGTGGTGCTGGTGGTGGTGGTGCTGGTGAAGGTGATGGTCGTGGTGGTGGTGATGATGATGGCGATGGTCGTGGAGGTGGTGGTGATGGTTGTGGTGGTGCTGGTGGTGGTGCTGGTGATGGTCGTGGAGGTGCTGGTGGTGCTGGTGATGGTCGTGGTGGTGGTGATGATGGTGATGGTGGTGCTTGTGATGGTGATGGTTGTGGTGGTGATGGTGGTGATGGTGGTGGTGATGGTCGTGGTGGTGATGGTTGTGGTGGATGTGGTGGTGATGGTGATTGTCGTGGAGGTGGTGGTGCTGGTCGTGGTGGTGGTGGTGGTGCTGGTTGTGGTGGTGGTAGATATGGTGGTGCTGGTGGTGGTGCTGGTGGTGGTGGTAGAGATGGTGGTGGTAGAGATGATGATGGTGGTGGTGGTAGAGATGGTGGTGGTGGTTGTTGTGGTGGTGGTGGTGATGGTTGTGGTGGTGGTAGAGATGGTGGTGATGGTGGTGGTGGTGGTAGAGATGGTGGTGGTGGTGCTGGTGGTGGTCGTGGTGGTAGAGATGGTGGTGGTGCTGGTCGTGGTGGTGGTTGTGGTGGTGATGGTGGTGCTGGTTGTGGTGGTGGTGGTGGTTGTGGTGGTGCTGGTCGTGGTAGTGATGGTGGTGATGGTGGTGGTGCTGGTTGTGGTGGTGATGGTGTTGGTGATGATGGTAGTGGTGGTGGTGGAGGTGGTGGTGGAGGTGGTGGTGGTGGTGATGATGGTGGAGGTGATGATGGTAGTGGTGGAGGTGGTGGTGGAGGTGGTGGTGGAGGTGGTGATGGTGGTGGTGATGATGGTAGTGCTGATGATGGTGGTGGTGGTGATGGTGGTGCTGGTTGTGGTGGTGGTGGTTGTGGTGGTGCTGGTCGTGGTAGAGATGGTGGTGATGGTGGTGGTGCTGGTTGTTGTGGTGGTGGTGGTGCTGGTTGTTGTGGTGGTGGTGCTGGTTGTGGTGGTGCTGGTTGTGGTGGTGGTGGTGTGAGGAGGTTGATAGGGCTTCCCCTCGCTCGCTCTGCAAGGCGGCGGCGGTGTCCACGTGGGGCGTGGAGTCAAGCGAACATGGAGTCGTGCAGGACCTGGACGCGGTGCAACCGCTCCTTCTCCGCCTCCTGCGGTGGGGTCATGGGGGACTCAGGTCAATGGGTCAATAGGTCAAGTTACGCCACAAGATGGACCCAGTGTATCTCAGCCTCTTTCTTGCACGTCCATACCTCCACCCTTCTGCAAAATCGATTTCCTCCCACTCCCCCCCCCCCGTCTCTCTCCTCCTCCTCCCCGTGTCTCTCTCCCCGTGTCTCTCTCTCTCTCTCCGTGTCTCTCTCTCCGTGTCTCTCTCCCCGTGTCTCTCCCCCCGTGTCTCTCTCTCCCCGTGTCTCTCTCTCCCCGTGTCTCTCTCCTCCTCCCCGTGTCTCTCTCTCCCCGTGTCTCTCTCTCCCCGTGTCTATCTCTCCCCGTGTCTCTCTCTCCCCGTGTCTCTCTCTCCCCATGTCTCTCTCTCCCCGTGTCTCTCTCTCCCCGTGTCTCTCTCTTCCCGTGTCTCTCTCTCCCCGTGTCTCTCTCTCCCCGTGTCTCTCTCTCCCCGTGTCTCTCTCTCCCCGTGTCTCTCTCCTCCTCCCCATGTCTCTCTCTCCCCGTGTCTCTCTCTCTCCCCGTGTCTCTCTCTCCCCATGTCTCTCTCTCTCCCCGTGTCTCTCTCTCTCTCCCCTTATCTCTCTCTCTCCCCGTGTCTCTCTCTCCCCGTGTCTCTCTCTCTCCCCGTGTCTCTCTCTCTCCACCTCCCCGTGTCTCTCTCTCTCTCTCCCCGTGTCTCTCTCTCTCCACCTCCCCGTGTCTCCCTCCTCTCACCTTCTCTCTTCTCTGCGCCTCGTACTCGGGGTCATCGGTGGGGAGCTCGTAGCGGCAGACGGGACACGAATTCGTCTGCACGCGGACAAGGAGACCGCGATCGTGAGCACACAGACGGAGGCCCACCGTATGACCCCGCACAGGCTCTTGGGGTAAGCGCCGTCACTGGCGAGCAAGCAGCACTCCACGATGCCCTGGAACGGCACGCGAGGCCGGCACGGGTGTCGATGGTCGGCACCAGCTAAAGCCAACTGAGCTGCGCCGCTCTTTGTCAGAGGCAACCTGTGGGTGTCTCTGTGGGTGTCTCTGTGGGTGTCTCTGTGGGTGTCTCTGTGTGGGTGTCTCTGTGGGTGTCTATGTGGGTGTCTCTGTGTGGGTGTCTCTGTGGGTGTCTCTGTGGGTGTCTCTGTGTGGGTGTCTCTGTGGGTGTCTCTGTGGGTGTCTCTGTGGGTGTCTCTGTGGGTGTCTCTGTGTGGGTGTCTCTGTGGGTGTCTCTGTGGGTGTCTCTGTGGGTGTCTCTGTGGGTGTCTCTGTGTGGGTGTCTCTGTGGGTGTCTGTGTGGGTGTCTGTGTGGGTGTCTCTGTGGGTGTCTCTGTGGGTGTCTCAGTGGGTGTCTCTGTGTGGGTGTCTCTGTGGGTGTCTCTGTGGGTGTCTCTGTGGGTGTCTCTGTGGGTGTCTGTGTGGGTGTCTCTGTGGGTGTCTCTGTGGGTGTCTCTGTGGGTGTCTCTGTAGGTGTTTGTGTGGGTGTCTCTGTGGGTGTCTGTGTGGGTGTCTGTGTGGGTGTCTCTGTGGGTGTCTCTGTGGGTGTCTCTGTGGGTGTCTCTGTGGGTGTCTCTGTGGGTGTGTCTGTGGGTGTCTCTGTGGGTGTCTCTGTGGGTGTGTCTGTGGGTGTCTCTGTGGGTGTGTCTGTGGGTATCTCTGTGGGTGTCTCTGTGGGTGTCTCTGTGGGTGTCTCTGTGGGTGTCTCTGTGGGTGTCTCTGTGTGGGTGTCTCTGTGGGTGTCTGTGTGGGTGTCTGTGTGGGTGTCTCTGTGGGTGGCTGTGTGGGTGTCTCTGTGGGTGTCTCTGTGGGTGTCTCTGTGGGTGTCTCTGTGGGTGTCTCTGTAGGTGTCTCTGTGGGTGTCTCTGTGGGTGTCTGTGTGGGTGTCTCTGTGGGTGTCTCTGTGGGTGTCTCTGTGGGTGTCTCTGTGGGTGTCTCTGTGGGTGTCTCTGTGGGTGTCTGTGTGGGTGTCTCTGTGGGTGTCTCTGTGGGTGTCTCTGTGGGTGTCTCTGTGGGTGTCTCTGTGGGTGTCTCTGTGGGTGTCTCTGTGGGTGTCTATGTGGGTGTCTCTGTGGGTGTCTCTGTGGGTGTCTATGTGGGTGTCTCTGTGTGGGTGTCTCTGTGTGGGTGTCTCTGTGGGTGTCTCTGTGGGTGTCTCTGTGGGTGTCTATGTGGGTGTCTCTGTGGGTGTCTCTGTGGGTGTCTCTGTGTGGGTGTCTCTGTGGGTGTCTCTGTGGGTGTCTCTGTGGGTGTCTCTGTGGGTGTCTCTGTGGGTGTCTCTGTGGGTGTCTCTGTGGGTGTCTGTGTGGGTGTCTGTGTGGGTGTCTGTGTGGGTGTCTCTGTGGGTGTCTCTGTGGGTGTCTCTGTGGGTGTCTCTGTGGGTGTCTCTGTGGGTGTCTCTGTGGGTGTCTCTGTGGGTGTCTGTGTGGGTGTCTCTGTGGGTGTCTCTGTGGGTGTCTCTGTGGGTGTCTCTGTGGGTGTCTCTGTGGGTGTCTCTGTGGGTGTCTCTGTAGGTGTCTCTGTGGGTGTCTCTGTGGGTGTCTGTGTGGGTGTCTCTGTGGGTGTCTCTGTGGGTGTCTCTGTGGGTGTCTCTGTGGGTGTCTCTGTGGGTGTCTCTGTGGGTGTCTGTGTGGGTGTCTCTGTGGGTGTCTCTGTGGGTGTCTCTGTGGGTGTCTCTGTGGGTGTCTCTGTGGGTGTCTCTGTGGGTGTCTCTGTGGGTGTCTCTGTGGGTGTCTATGTGGGTGTCTCTGTGGGTGTCTCTGTGGGTGTCTATGTGGGTGTCTCTGTGTGGGTGTCTCTGTGTGGGTGTCTCTGTGGGTGTCTCTGTGGGTGTCTCTGTGGGTGTCTATGTGGGTGTCTCTGTGGGTGTCTCTGTGGGTGTCTCTGTGTGGGTGTCTCTGTGGGTGTCTCTGTGGGTGTCTTTGTGGGTGTCTCTGTGGGTGTCTCTGTGGGTGTCTCTGTGGGTGTCTCTGTGGGTGTCTGTGTGGGTGTCTGTGTGGGTGTCTGTGTGGGTGTCTCTGTGGGTGTCTATGTGGGTGTCTATGTGGGTGTCTCTGTGGGTGTCTCTGTGGGTGTCTCTGTGGGTGTCTCTGTGGGTGTCTCTGTGGGTGTCTGTGTGGGTGTCTCTGTGGGTGTCTCTGTGGGTGTCTCTGTGGGTGTCTCTGTGGGTGTCTCTGTGGGTGTGTCTGTGGGTGTCTCTGTGGGTGTCTGTGTGGGTGTCTCTGTGGGTGTCTGTGGGTGTCTCTGTGGGTCTCTGTGGGTGTCTCTGTGGGTCTCTGTGGGTGTCTCTGTGGGTGTCTCTGTGGGTGTCTATGTGGGTGTCTCTGTGGGTGTCTATGTGGGTGTCTCTGTGGGTGTCTGTGTAGGTGTCTCTGTGGGTGTCTCTGTGGGTGTCTCTGTGGGTGTCTCTGTGGGTGTCTGTGTGGGTGTCTCTGTGGGTGTCTCTGTGAGTGTCTGTGTGGGTGTCTCTGTGGGTGTCTCTGTGGGTGTCTCTGTGGGTGTCTGTGTGGGTGTCTCTGTGGGTGTCTCTGTGGGTGTCTCTGTGGGTGTCTCTGTGGGTGTCTCTGTGGGTGTCTCTGTGGGTGTCTGTGTGGGTGTCTGTGTGGGTGTCTCTGTGGGTGTCTCTGTGGGTGTCTGTGTGGGTGTCTCTGTGGGTGTCTCTGTGGGTGTCTCTGTGGGTGTCTCTGTGGGTGTCTGTGTGGGTGTCTCTGTGGGTGTCTGTGTGGGTGTCTCTGTGGGTGTCTGTGTGGGTGTCTCTGTGGGTGTCTCTGTGGGTGTCTCTGTGTGGGTGTCTCTGTGGGTGTCTCTGTGGGTGTCTCTGTGGGTGTCTCTGTGGGTGTCTCTGTGGGTGTCTCTGTGGGTGTCTCTGTGGGTGTCTCTGTGGGTGTCTCTGTGGGTGTCTCTGTGGGTGTCTGTGTGGGTGTCTCTGTGGGTGTCTGTGTGGGTGTCTCTGTGGGTGTCTCTGTGGGTGTCTGTGTGGGTGTCTGTGTGGGTGTCTCTGTGGGTGTCTGTGTAGGTGTCTCTGTGGGTGTCTCTGTGGGTGTCTCTGTGGGTGTCTCTGTGGGTGTCTGTGTGGGTGTCTCTGTGGGTGTCTCTGTGGGTGTCTGTGTGGGTGTCTCTGTGGGTGTCTCTGTGGGTGTCTGTGTGGGTGTCTCTGTGGGTGTCTCTGTGGGTGTCTCTGTGGGTGTCTCTGTGGGTGTCTCTGTGGGTGTCTCTGTGGGTGTCTGTGTGGGTGTCTGTGTGGGTGTCTCTGTGGGTGTCTCTGTGGGTGTCTGTGTGGGTGTCTCTGTGGGTGTCTCTGTGGGTGTCTCTGTGGGTGTCTCTGTGGGTGTCTGTGTGGGTGTCTCTGTGGGTGTCTGTGTGGGTGTCTCTGTGGGTGTCTGTGTGGGTGTCTCTGTGGGTGTCTCTGTGGGTGTCTCTGTGTGGGTGTCTCTATGGGTGTCTCTGTGGGTGTCTCTGTGGGTGTCTCTGTGGGTGTCTCTGTGGGTGTCTCTGTGGGTGTCTCTGTGGGTGTCTCTGTGGGTGTCTCTGTGGGTGTCTCTGTGGGTGTCTGTGTGGGTGTCTCTGTGGGTGTCTGTGTGGGTGTCTCTGTGGGTGTCTCTGTGGGTGTCTGTGTGGGTGTCTGTGTGGGTGTCTCTGTGGGTGTCTGTGTAGGTGTCTCTGTGGGTGTCTCTGTGGGTGTCTCTGTGGGTGTCTCTGTGGGTGTCTCTGTGGGTGTCTCTGTGGGTGTCTCTGTGGGTGTCTGTGTGGGTGTCTGTGTGGGTGCCTCTGTGGGTGTCTCTGTGGGTGTCTCTGTGGGTGTCTCTGTGGGTGTCTCTGTGGGTGTCTCTGTGGGTGTCTCTGTGGGTGTCTCTGTGGGTGTCTCTGTGGGTGTCTCTGTGGGTGTCTATGTGGGTGTCTCTGTGGGTGTCTCCGTGGGTGTCTCCGTGGGTGTCTGTGTGGGTGTCTCTGTGGGTGTCTGTGTAGGTGTCTCTGTGGGTGTCTCTGTGGGTGTCTCTGTGCGTGTCTGTGTGGGTGTCTCTGTGGGTGTCTCTGTGGGTGTCTCTGTGGGTGTCTCTGTGGGTGTCTCTGTGGGTGTCTCTGTGGGTGTCTCTGTGGGTGTGTCTGTGTGGGTGTCTCTGTGGGTGTCTGTGGGTGTCTCTGTGGGTGTCTCTGTGGGTGTCTCTGTGGGTGTCTCCGTGGGTGTCTGTGTGGGTGTCTCTGTGGGTGTCTGTGTGGGTGTCTCTGTGGGTGTCTCCGTGGGTGTCTCCGTGGGTGTCTCCGTGGGTGTCTCCGTGGGTGTCTCTGTGGGTGTCTCTGTGGGTGTCTCTGTGGGTGTCTCTGTGGGTGTCTCTGTGGGTGTCTCTGTGGGTGTCTCTGTGGGTGTCTGTGTGGGTGTCTCTGTGGGTGTCTCTGTGGGTGTCTCTGTGGGTGTCTCTGTGGGTGTCTCTGTGGGTGTCTCTGTGGGTGTCTCTGTGGGTGTCTCTGTGGGTGTCTCTGTGGGTGTCTCTGTGGGTGTCTCTGTGGGTGTCTCTGTGGGTGTCTCTGTGGGTGTCTGTGTGGGTGTCTCTGTGGGTGTCTGTGTAGGTGTCTGTGTAGGTGTCTCTGTGGGTGTCTCTGTGGCTGTCTCTGTGGGTGTCTCTGTGGGTGTCTCTGTGGGTGTCTCTGTGGGTGTCTCTGTGGGTGTCTCTGTGGGTGTCTCTGTGGGTGTCTCTGTGGGTGTCTCTGTGGGTGTCTCTGTGGGTGTCTCTGTGGGTGTCTGTGGGTGTCTCTGTGGGTCTCTGTGGGTGTCTCTGTGGGTCTCTGTAGGTCTCTGCGGGTCTCTGCCGGCCTCTATGGGTATCTCTGTGGGTGTCTCTGTAGGTCTCTGTGGGTGTCTCTGTGGGTGTCTCTGTGGGTCTGGGTGTCTGTGGGTCGCACCGTACCTAGCCAACCGTGCTAATCTGTGGGTCTCTGTGGGTCTCTGTGGGTCTCTGTCGGCCTCTATCAGTCTATGAGATTCTCTATGGGTCTCTGTGTATGTACGGATGTTGAACTCCGTACGTAGCCAACCGTGCTAATCTGTGGGTATCTCTGTGGGTCTCTGTGGGTGTCTCTGTGGGTCTGGGTGTCTGTGGGTCTCTGCGGGTGTCTGTGGGCCTCTGTGGGTATCTCTGTGGGTCTCTGTGGGTGTGTCTGTGGGTCTAGGTGTCTGTGGGCCTCTATGGCTGTCTTTGTGGGTCTCTGTGGGTGTCTCTGTGGGTCTCTGTGGGTGTCTCTGTGGGTCTGGGTGTCTGTGGGTCGCTCCGTACGTAGCCAACCCCGCTAATCTGTGGGTCTCTGTGGGTCTCTGTGGGTATCTCTGTGGGTATCTGTCGGCATCTATGAGTCTATGAGATTCTCTGTGGGTCTCTGTGTATGTACGGACGTTGAACTTCTTTGGCACCGTACATAGCCAACCGTGATAATCTGTGGGTCTCTGTAGGCATCTATGGGTATCTCTGTGGGTCTCTGTGGGTCTGGGTGTTTGTGGGTCTCTGTGGATCTCTGTGGGCCTCTGTGAGTGTCTCTGTGGGCCTCTGTGGGTGTCTCTGTGGGCCTCTGTGAGTGTCTCTGTGGGTCTCTGTGGGTGTCTCTGCGGGTGTCTCTGCGGGTGTCTCTGTGTGTCTCTGTGGGTGTCTCTGTGGGTGTCTCTGTGGGTGTCTCTGTGGGCCTCTGTGAGTGTCTCTGTGGGTGTCTGTGGGTGTCTCTGTGGGTGTCTCTGTGGGTGTCTCTGTGGGTGTCTCTGTGGGTGTCTCTGTGGGTGTCTCTGTGGGCCTCTGTGAGTGTCTCTGTGGGTGTCTGTGGGTATCTCTGTGGGTATCTCTGTGGGTATCTCTGTGGGTCTCTGTGTACGTACGGACGTTGGACTTCTTTCTTACCGTACGTAGCCAACCACGCCAATGGCAGGCGCGACGGGAGGCGCGGGGGGGGCTCCGGGACCGCCGCCGACGCCGGTGACCACCTCCCCACCACACCCCCCCCACCACACCCCCCCACCACACCCACCCCCCCACCACACCCCCCACCCACCACCCCCCCCACCACCCCCCCCACCACCACACCCCCCACCCACCTGCTGCAGCCAGGGTCTGATGCAGGAATCGTGGAAGAGGTGGGAGCAGGGCAGGGAGGTGCCCAGCTCCCCGCACAGGGAGGCCAGACACACGGGGCACGGGGGAGACGCCCCTGGGGGGTGGGGGAGGGAGACACGGGGGGGGGGGGGTGGGGGGGGTGAGTTTGAGCCACGGCCACGGGGAGGGAGGGGCCAAGGGGGGAGGGGGGAGAGGGAAATGGAGGGAGGGGGTCGGGTTGATGGGAGGGGGGAAGATGGGGGGGGGAAGGGAGCGAGGGGGAGGGGGTGATGGAGGGAGGGGCGTGGGTGGGGGAGGGGCGTGGGTGGGAGAGGGGTGTGGGCGATGGAGGGGGAGGGGCGAGGGCGATGGAGGGAGGGGGCGAGGGAGGGAAGGGGAGGGAGGTGACGACAGGGGAGGGTAGTGGCTATGGAAGGGGAGGGGCTAGGGAAGGGGAGGGGCTAGGGAAGGCGAGGGGCTAGGGAAGGGGAGGGGCTAGGGAAGGGGAGGAGCTAGGGAAGGGGAGGGGCTATGGAAGGGGAGGGTCTAGGGAAGGGGAGGGTCTAGGGAAGGGGAGGGGCTATGGAAGGGGATGGGCTATGGAAGGGGAGGGGCTATGGAAGGGGAGGAGCTAGGGAAGGGGCGGGGCTATGGAAGGGGAGTGGCTAGGGAAGGGGAGGGGCTATGGAAGGGGAGGGGCTAGGGAAGGGGATGGGCTATGGAAGGGGAGTGGCTAGGGAAGGGGAGTGGCTATGGAAGGGGAGGGGCTATGGAAGGGGAGGGGCTAGGGAAGGGGAGGGGCTATGGAAGGGGAGGGGCTATGGAAGGGGAGGGGCTATGGAAGGGGAGTGGCTAGGGAAGGGGAGTGGCTATGGAAGGGGAGGGGCTATGGAAGGGGAGGGGCTAGTAGGGTACCGGTCTCTGCCACGGGAGTCCTGGCAAGGGCCTCCACAGCGGCGAGGGAGGCTGGGGGGGCCGGAGTGCCCCCGGATGGCCCCCAGTGCGCCCCCACATCCCCCCCCTCCAGCAGCAGGCTGCACACACAGAGACACACACACACACAGAGACACACACAGAGACACACACACACAGAGACACACAGACACACACAGACACACACAGAGACACACACACACAGAGACACACAGAGACACACACACACAGAGACACACACAGAGACACACACACACACAGAGACACACACAGAGACACACACAGACACACACAGACACACACAGAGGCACACACACACACAGACACACAGAGACACACACAGAGACACACACAGAGACACACACAGACACACACACACAGAGACACACACAGAGACACACACAGAGACAACAACAACAACAACCGCCATTCGCCACTAAGTGGCGGTGACGTCACCACGACGCTTGTGCCAGGCTATGTGCACCTTGAGGCCACGTGAAGTGTCGAACGCCCGCTGGCAGGAGGTCACGGGGCAGACCCAGCAGGTGCCACGGGTCGACTGACTGAGATGACTGGCTGATGCACCACCTGTGCCCCCTACTGTGCCAACCCGCTGTGCTTTAGCCACCCGGCGCTCCGCTCATTGTTCTGAGCGTCGCTCCTCCGCCCTCCGTTGTTGCTGGAGGGCGACTGCCTCCAAGTGCCCGGTAGCGGCGGCGTCCGTCGCGAGCCTCCCTTTGTGGTTTACCAGCTAAGGTCCCACTGATCTGTGTAGCCCTCTTTCAAACTCGACATGGCCATCACAAGTGACGTCTCAATGGAGTGGCCTCATCGTCGTGCAGGAATGTACAGCAGCCAAATACTCTGCACGTGGTGGTGGTGGTGGTGACGTCGATTCTGAATTGCGGTGGGAAAAACCAGAAGACCCGGAGAAATATCCACGCGAACACAGGGGGAGAGAGAGAGACGCGCAGACTCCAAATACACAGCAGCAGCAGGCGACAGGGTCGGGATCGAATCCACGACCTCCTGCATACCAGGCGAGGTAGTCAACATCTCTCAGGGTCAGGGGGTCGAACTCACGACCTCCTGTACACCGGGCGAGGTAGTCAACATCTCTCAGGGTCACGGGGTCGAACTCACGACCTCCTGTACACCAGGCGAGGAAGTTAACATCTCCTAGCCACCGTGGCGCCCCTGTTATCCGCTACGTGTGGACCCTGTTATCCGCTATACCGTGTGGACCCTGTTATCCGCTACGTGTGGACCCCGTTATCCGCTACATGTGGACCCCGTTATCCGCTACGTGTGGCCCCTGTTATCCGCTACGTGTGGACCCCGTTATCCGCTATACCGTGTGGACCCCATTATCCGCTAGGTGTAGACCCCGTCATCCGCTACGTGTGGACCCCGTTATCCGCTACGTGTGGACCCCGTCATCCGCTACGTGTGGACCCTGTTATCCGCTATACCGTGTGGACCCCGTTATCCGCTACGTGTGGACCCCGTTATCCGCTATACCGTGTGGACCCCGTTATCCGCTATACCGTGTGGACCCCGTTATCCGCTACATGTGGACCCTGTTATCCGCTATACCGTGCGAGCTGCATCAGCTAGGTGTGGACCCTGTTATCCGCTACATGTGGACCCCGTTATCCGCTACATGTGGACCCTGTTATCCGCTATACCGTGCGAGCTGCATCGGCTAGGTGTGGACCCTGTTATCCGCTATACCGTGTGGACCCCGTTATCCGCTAGGTGTGGACCCCGTTATCCGCCATACCGTGCGAGCTGCATCAGCTAGGTGTGGACCCCGTTATCCGCTAGGTGTGGACCCCGTTATCCGCTATACCGTGCGAGCTGCATCAGCTAGGTGTGGACCCCGTTATCCGCTATACCGTGCGAGCTGCATCAGCTAGGTGTGGACCCCGTTATCCGCTACGTGTGGACCCCGTTATCCGCTATACCGTGCGAGCTGCATCAGCTAGGTGTGGACCCCGTTATCCGCTACGTGTGGACCCCGTTATCCGCTAGGTGTGGACCCCGTTATCCGCTACGTGTGGACCCCGTTATCCGCTATACCGTGCGAGCTGCATCAGCTAGGTGTTGACCCTGTTATCCGCTAGGTGTGGACCCCGTTATCCGCTATACCGTGCGAGCTGCATCAGCTAGGTGTGGACCCTGTTATCCGCTAGGTGTGGACCCCGTTATCCGCTATACCGTGCGAGCTGCATCAGCTAGGTGTGGACCCTGTTATCCGCTAGGTGTGGACCCCGTTATCCGCTATACCGTGCGAGCTGCATCAGCTAGGTGTGGACCCTGTTATCCGCTACATGTGGACCCCCTTATCCGCTACATGTGGACCCCATTATCCGCTATACCGTGCGAGCTGCATCAGCTAGGTGTGGACCCTGTTATCCGCTACATGTGGACCCCGTTATCCGCTATACCGTGCGAGCGGCATCAGCTAGGTGTGGACCCTGTTATCCGCTACATGTGGACCCCGTTATCCGCTATACCGTGCGAGCGGCATCAGCTAGGTGTGGACCCTGTTATCCGCTACATGTGGACCCCGTTATCCGCTATACCGTGCGAGCGGCATCAGCTAGGTGTGGACCCCGTTATCCGCTACATGTGGACCCCGTTATCCGCTATACCGTGCGAGCTGCATCAGCTAGGTGTGGATCCTGTTATCCGCTACATGTGGACCCCGTTATCCGCTATACCGTGCGAGCTGCATCAGCTAGGTGTGGACCCTGTTATCCGCTACATGTGGACCCCCTTATCCGCTACATGTGGACCCCGTTATCCGCTATACCGTGCGAGCTGCATCAGCTAGGTGTGGACCCCGTTATCCGCTACATGTGGACCCCGTTATCCGCTATACCGTGCGAGCTGCATCAGCTAGGTGTGGACCCCGTTATCCGCTACATGTGGACCCCGTTATCCGCTATACCGTGCGAGCTGCATCAGCTAGGTGTGGACCCCGTTATCCGCTACATGTGGACCCCGTTATCCGCTATACCGTGCGAGCGGCATCAGCTAGGTGTGGACCCTGTTATCCGCTACATGTGGACCCCGTTATCCGCTATACCGTGCGAGCTGCATCAGCTAGGTGTGGACCCTGTTATCCGCTACATGTGGACCCCGTTATCCGCTATACCGTGCGAGCTGCATCAGCGTGCTTCCCGCGTCTCCTGCGGTCATCTGGGTTCGGTCCGGCTCATCACAGTCATGCTCCTCAAAGTATGACGTCATTGTCTGGGGGGGGCACGGGGGGAGGCACGGGGGGGGGGCGCGGGGGGGGGGTGACACGGGGGAGGGAGACACGGGGTGGGGGGGGAGAGAGACACGGGGTGGGGGGGGGAGAGACACGGGGTTGGGGAGGGGGAGACACGGGGTGAGGGGGGGGAGAGACACGGGGTGAGGGGGGGGAGAGACGGGTTGGGGGGGGGGGGAGAGACACGGGTGGAGGGGGGGAGAGACACGGGGTTGGGGAGGGGGAGACACGGGGTGGGGGGGGAGAGACACGGGGTGAGGGGGGGGAGAGACACGGGGGGAGGGGGGAGAGAGACACGGGGTGAGGGGGGAGAGACACAGGGTGGGGGGGGAGAGAGACACGGGGTGGGGGGAGAGAGACACGGGGTGAGGGGGGAGGGAGAGACACGGGGTGGGGGGGGGGAGAGAGACACGGGGTGGGGGGGGAGAGACACGGGGTGGGGGGAGAGAGAGACACGGGGTGGGTGGGGGGGAGAGAGACACGGGGTGGGGGGGGAGAGACACGGGGTGAGGGGGAGAGAGACACGGGGTGGGGGGGGGAGAGACACGGGGAGGGGAGAGAGAGACACGGGTTGGGGGGGGGAGAGACACGGGGAGGGGGGAGAGAGACACGGGGTGGGGGGGAGAGAGAGACACGGGTTGGGGGGGGGAGAGACACGGGGAGGGGGGAAAGAGACATGGGTTGGGGGGGGGAGAGACACGGGGAGGGGGGAGAGAGACACGGGGTGGGGGGGAGAGAGAGACACGGGTTGGGGGGGGGAGAGACACGGGGAGGGGGGGAGAGAGACACGGGGTGGAGGGGGGAGAGACACGGGTTGGGAGGGGGAGACACGGGGTGGGGGGGAGAGAGACACGGGGTGGGAAGGAGAGAGAGACACGGGTTGGGGGGGGGAGAGACACGGGGAGGGGGGAGAGAGACACGGGGTGGGGGGGGGGAGAGACACGGGGTGGGGGGAGAGAGACACGGGGTGGGGGGGGGGGAGAGAGACACGGGGTGGGGGGGGAGAGAGACACGGGGTGGGGGGGGAGAGACACGGGGTGGGGGGAGAGAGAGACACGGGGTGGGGGGGGAGAGACACGGGGTGGGGGGAGAGAGAGACACGGGGTGGGGGGGGGGGAGAGACACGGGGTGGGGGGAGTGAGACACGGGGTGGGGGGAGAGACACGGGGTGGGGGGAGAGAGAGACACGGGGTGGGGGGGGGGGAGAGACACGGGGTGGGGGGGAGAGAGACACGGGGTGGGGAGGAGAGAGAGACACGGGGGTGGGGTGGAGAGACACGGGGTGGGGGGGAGAGAGACACGGCATACGTAACGTGGTTGAGCAATAGGGAGCAATCCTTTGACCGTACCCGGGCATCGATCAGCCTCCCATTGTATCTGTACGAGATCGAAATTCCTCCGGTACAGCCATCGAAGGCTTTCCAAATTACGTGGTTAAAATAGATGTTAAATCATGTGGGAGCCAGAGGACATCCCTGTCGCACCCCAAGGTGAACAGGGAATGGCTCCGACTCCTGGCCACGTAGTTTTACCCGGGCCCGCACACCATCATGAAGGTCCTTAATGGTTGTGGGCAAAGAGTCAGGGACTCTGAAATACAAAGAACAACCCAGAGCCCAGGCCTACTGATGGTATCATCGGCCTTGACCAGGTCAATAAAGCAGAGATGTAGGTCTTGTTGGAATTCCCTACACCTCTGCTGTAGCAGACGGACAGAAAATATGGCATCTATGCAGGACCGCCCTTTCCTGAAACCGCATTGGGGCTCCGCAAGCCTCTCCTCAGCATGGTGCCTGGCAAGGCGATGTTGAATAATCCTTACCAGGACCTTTCCCGGCACACTGAGTGAGATGCCCCTGTAGTTGTTACAGTCTGTGCGGTCCCCCTTCTTAAAGAAGGGGACCACCAGGGCATCCTTCCAATCCTGTAGAACCTGTCCATTGGTCCAGACTGTTGTTATGATGTCATGTAGGGCAGTCTGTGCACAAACGCCACCCTCCCTCAGCATTTCGCTTGGGAGATCATCTCTGCCCGCTGCCTTTCCTGGTCTCAGACTCCGGATCGCCTTCAGTACTTCCTCAACAGATGGCATCTCAGCCAGTCACTCACAGGGGGTGACGTCTTCTTACAATATTTGAGGCACCTCAGCCTCGGCAGGATCATACCTCACAGAAATGCTCAGCAAATCTGCAAACCTGGTCATGGGGGTCGGAGATTGGATCACCCTTCTTTCCTCAAATGATGGTAATAGGTGTGTTGCTGCAGGTTACTTTTTTGATGGAATTAAAGGGCGATTTCATCTCCTCAGCAACCCACAACTACGACACATTCTTGCAGCACCTCACGGCTCTCCGACCCTCCAAGTAAAGGCTGCGGTAAACCTCATCACTGTCGGACGTGGGATGCTGTAGACGGTGGGAGTGGGCCTGTCGCTTTTTCTCAGCCAGCCTGAACACCTCCTCTGTCAGCCAGGGTCTCTGGGGACCGCGTACCCAATGCAGCCATTGCAGCTGCATGAGTCACAGTCTTAAACCTCGCCCATTTAACCCTCGGCATCTGGACGATGCCAACCCCAACCACAACCGATGACAAAATTCTCGCTTGCAACTTTCATCAGCAAGCTGAGGCCATGTCACTATGGTTTGAATGGAGTCCTGAGTGTACACCCACCACCGGAGTGGAAGAATGGCAGGCGCATCTTACAGATGACAAGTCGATGGTTGGTAGGCAGATCAGCTCCACGGCAGGTCGTGGTGTCAAGGACATGGGCTCGCATCCGCTGGTCCATCACTATATAGTCCAGCAGATGTTCTTGTTTGGACCCGGCCTGCATCCATGATGTTGTGTGGATGCGCCGATGCCGGAACAGCGTGTTGGTAATTACAAGTCCATGGGCTGCACAAAAATCTTGCAGCCTCCAACTGTTCTTATTTAGTTGATCTGGCCCATGCCTTCCAATCACTCAGGACCAGGTGCCAGCATCATGACCAACTTGGGCATTGAAGTCACCCAACAAGATTACTCTATCCCGAGGGGCCACTTTAGCTAGCACCTGTGACAGGAGGTCATAGAAGGCATCTGACTCATCAGCCTTGCCTCCATCCCTCCACTGATGTTCATCTTCAGTGGGAGCATAAGTAACCACAACCACCACTCCTCGCCTCTGGTTGATAGGAAGGCGAGTCCAAAGAAGCCTGGGGCTTACAGCTTCCCACACCTCACTACCACGCCCCCTTTATATTTTTGTTCGGAAAAAGAGCCACTCCCTGTTATTTGCCAGTCTCCTGCCCCGAGTAGAGGACTGTCCACCCCTCATGTTGACAGGAACCAGAGCCGGTCCACCGGACCTCCTGAACGCCACAGAGATCCAGGCGGTACCGGTCCAGCTCCCGACAGAGGAGTGGCAGCCTCTCCTCAGCAGGGAGCGCTCGAACATTCCACGTGGCCACCCGCAGTGGCTTTCTGCTGCTTCTGGAGGAGCCCCGAGGCTCCAGCCGAGGATTCAATCTCCTGGCTCCGCCAAACGGGGTTTGGCCAGGAGACGTCATGGACGCCTGTCCCCCCCCCGGGGCCTCCGGCACAAGCTAGCGTAGTTTGATATTTTTTCCATCGTTCAGTGGTAATTTATTTTAAGGTGGAGGGGTTACCAGCCCCTCGCACCCATCCAGAGCCGCTTTTGGCCACTGTCGTGGCTACAAAATGCCATGAGGGGGAATGGCCAATCGAAATTTGCCTCTCCCACCATGGCAACACTCACCACAGCGTTGCCGTCCGGCACCAACGAGGTGGACGGTTGTTTTGCCGGCAGTACACACACACCGCAGTACACACACAGTACACACACACAGTACACACACCGCAGTACACACACCGCAGTACACACACAGTACACACACACAGTACACACACAGTACACACACAGTACACACACACACACCGCAGTACACACACAGTACACACACACACCGCAGTACACACACACAGTACACACACACAGTACACACACACAGTACACACACCGCAGTACACACACCGCAGTACACACACAGTACACACACACAGTACACACACACAGTACACACACCGCAGTACACACACCGCAGTACACACACAGTACACACACACAGTACACACACACAGTACACACACAGTACACACACAGTACACACACACAGTACACACACACAGTACACACACCGCAATACACACACAGTACACACACACAGTACACACACAGTACACACACACACACCGCAGTACACACACAGTACACACACACACCGCAGTACACACACAGTACACACACACAGTACACACACACAGTACACACACACAGTACACACACAGTACACACACCACAGTACACACACAGGACACACACACACAGTACACACACAGTACACACACAGTACACACACACAGTACACACACACAGTACACACACCACAGTACACACCGCAGTACACACACAGTACACACACAGTACACACACACAGTACACACACAGTACACACAAACAGTACACACACACAGTACACACAGTACACACAGACAGTACAAACAGTACACACACACAGTACACACACACAGTACACACACACAGTACATACACCACAGTACACACACCAAGTACACACACACAGTACATACACAGTACACACACACAGTACATACACAGTACACACACACAGTACACACACACACAGTACACACACCAAGTACACACACAGTACATACACAGTACACACACACAGTACATACACAGTACACACACACAGTACACACACAGTACACACACACACCGCAGTACACACACAGTACACACACACACCGCAGTACACACACAGTACACACCGCAGTACACACACAGTACACACACACCGCAGTACACACACAGTACACACACAGTACACACAGTACACACACACACCGCAGTACACACACAGTACACACACACAGTACACACACATAGTACACACACAGTACACACACCACAGTACACACACAGGACACACACACAGTACACACAGTACACACACAGTACACACACCACAGTACATACACAGTACACACACCACAGTACACACACAGTACACACACCACAGTACACACACAGGACACACACAGTACACACACAGTACATACACAGTACACACACCACAGTACACACACAGTACACACACAGTACACACACACACAGTACACACACACAGTACACACACAGTACACACACCACAGTACACACGCAGTACACACACAGTACATACACAGTACACACACAGTACACACACAGTACACACAGACAGTACAAACAGTACACACACACACAGTACACACACACAGTACACACACACAGTACATACACCACAGTACACACACCAAGTACACACAGTACATACACAGTACACACACACAGTACATACACAGTACACACACACAGTACACACACACCAAGTACACACACACAGTACACACACACAGTACACACACACAGTACACACACCAAGTACACACACACAGTACACACACAGTACACACACCAAGTACACACACACACAGTACATACACAGTACACACACACAGTACATACACCACAGTACATACACAGTACACATACACACACAGTACACACACACACAGTACACACACAGTACACACACCAAGTACACACACACAGTACACACACACAGTACACACACACAGTACACACACACAGTACACACAAACTACACACAGTACACACAAACTACACACAGTACACACACACAGTACACACACACACAGTACACACACAGTACACACAGAGTGTACACACACAGTGTACACACACACAGTGTGTGTGTACACACAGCACAGTACACACACAGTGTACACACACACAGTACACACAGTGTGTGTACACAGTGTACGTGTACACACATAGTACACAGCACACACACACAGTACACACACACGCGGTGTATAACCGCCGTTCATCACTCAGTGGCGGTGACGTCACCACGGCGCTTGTGCCAGGCTAGGTGCACACAACAACCACAACCACCACAACAACCACCGTCCTTACCTAGTTCGCAGCTACCCGAGAAGTGTTTACAGGCGCCCGACTCGGACAACTAAAATAATAATAATTTTTATTTTTCACGCTACTAACAGGGAAGAGTGGTACAAAGACAACGAACAAACAGATAAAATAAATTATGACATTACCCAAGAACAGTGGAGTGAAGTGCACAAAACGTGACTTTATTTCGCCCTTTTTCAGGCACTCGACGATATAGGTGTCCACTCGACTCCACTCCTCTGGGCTCTCGAGGGGTCCTGCCAATGACCCTGTGACGACCCCACGAGGGGTGGGGGGCTAGGGGAGGGAGGGCGGGGTCTTGGAGGGGAGGGCGGGGTCTAAGGGAGAAAGGGCGGGGTCTAGGGGAGAAAGGGCGGGGTCTAGGGAAGGAAAGGCGGGGGCTAAGTGGGGGAGGGCGGAGTCTATGGGAGGAAGGGCGGGGTCTAGGAGGGAGGGAGGGCGGGGTCTAGGGGAGCAAGGGCGGGGTCTAGAGCAGGAAAGGCGGGGGCTAGGTGAGAGAGGGCGGGGTCTAGGGGGGGAGGGAGGGCGGGGTCTAGGGGGGGAGGGAGGGTGGGGGGGGATCTATTGGAAGGAGGTGGAGGAGGGGAGTTTAGCGGAGGGAGGGGAGGGGGGCGGGTCTAGGGGAGGGACGGGGCGGGGTTTAGGGACGGAGGGTGTAGATGACGATGGGGCGGGGTCTAGGAGAGGGAGGGTCTAGAGAATAAAGGGGGCGGGTCTTATGGGAGGAAGCGGTCTGGGCGTTATGGGAGGAAGGGGGCGGGCCTTATAGGAGGAAGGGGACGGGGCGTTATGGGAGGAAGGGGGCGGGGTTCAGAAGCCCGTAGCAAGATGGCGGCCGAGGCGTCCCAAATCCTCCGCGGGGTGACTGAGCCGAGCCCCGGGTCTCTGCCCCCAGCTGTCGAGGGGCTCCCGCGGGGAGAAGTCCCCGACGGGGTTGCTCAGGACGGGGCCGGCACCCGGCAAGACGAGGAGGCCGCGGCGGGCGAGGAGGCTGCCTCCACGGGTGAGTTATGTTAGGCCCGGTGGGGTGTGGGGGAGGTGGCGGCCTTCCCCCCCCCCAACACCGAGCGGCGGGATGATCAGGCAAGGCCGTAGGCTTACCGGGGTTGTAGGCCCCTGTTGGAGGAAATCTCAGAGCCGTGTCTCTGTGTGTCTCTGTGTGTCTCTGTGTCTCTCTGTGTCTCTGTGTGTGTCTCTGTGTGTGTCTCTGTGTGTCTCTGTGTGTGTCTCTGTGTCTCTGTGTGTGTCTCTGTGTGTGTCTGTGTGTCTCTGTGTCTCTGTGTGTGTCTCTGTGTGTCTCTGTGTGTTTCTGTGTGTGTGTCTCTGTATGTGTGTCTCTGTGTGTGTGTCTCTGTATGTGTGTCTCTGTGTGTGTGTCTCTGTATGTGTGTCTCTGTGTGTGTCTCTGTGTATCTCTGTGTGAGTCTGTGTGTCTCTGTGTGTGTCTCTGTGTGTGTGTCTCTGTGTGTATCTCTGTGTGTGTCTCTGTGTCTCTGTGTGTGAGTCTGTGTGTCTCTGTGTGAGTCTCTTTGTGTCTCTGTGTGTGTCTGTGTGTCTCTGTGTGTGTCTGTGTGTCTCTGTGTGTGTCTGTGTCTCTGTGTGAGTCTCTTTGTGTCTCTGTGTGTCTCTGTGTGTGTCTCTGTGTGTCTCTGTGTGTGTCTCTGTGTGTCTCTGTGTGAGTCTGTGTGTGTCTTTGTGTATGTCTCTGTGTGTCTCTGTGTGTCTCTTTGTCTCTGTGTGTGTCTCTGTGTGTGTCTGTGTGTGTGTCTCTGTATGTCTCTGTGTGAGTCTGTGTGTCTCTGTGTGTGTCTCTGTATGTCTCTGTATGTCTCTGTGTGTCTGTGTGTGTCTCTGTGTGAGTCTCTGTGTCTCTGTGTGTGTTTCTGTGTGAGTCTCTTTGTGTCTCTGTGTGTCTCTGTGTGTGTCTCTGTGTGTGTCTCTGCGTGTCTCTGTGTGTCTCTGTGTGTGTCTATGTGTCTCTGTGTGTGAGTCCCTGTGTGAGTCCGTCCGGCAAAACAACCCCCTACCTCCTCGCGGTGCCGGACGGGCAACTCTGTCGTGGACAGTGCTGTGGCGGGAGATCCAATTTTGATTGGCTCCTCCCCTCATGGCATATGTGTCCACCACAGGGGCTAAACGGGGGCTCTGGACGGGTGCGAGGGGCTGGTAACCCCTCCACCTTCAATTAATTACCACGAAACCACGAGTTAAATTGAAATATGTAACTAATAAGCTTGTGCCGGAGGCCCCGGGGGGCCAGGCGTCTTTGACGTCTCCTGGCCAAACCCCAATTGGCGGAGCCAGGAGATTGAATACCTACCCTCGGGGCTACTCCAGAAACAACGAAAAGCCACTACGGGTGGCCACGTGGAATGTTCGAACGCTCATTGCGGAGGAGAGGCTGCCACTCCTCTGTCGGGAGCTGGACCGGTACCTCCTGGATCTATGCGGCATTCAGGAGGTCCGGTGGACCGGCTCTGGCTCCTGCCACCATGAGGGGTGGACAGTCCTCTACTCGGGGCAGCAGACTGCCAAACAACAGGGTGTGGCTCTTCTTTTGAACAAAAGAATGAAGGGGGCGTGGGAGCGTGGCGGTGAGGTGTGGGAAGCTGTAAGCCCCAGGCTACTTTGGGCTCGCCTTCCCATCAACCGGAGGCGAGGAATGGTGGTCGTGGTTACTTATGCCCCCACCGAAGATGAACATCCGTGGAGGGATGCAGGCAAAGCCGATGAGTCAGATGCCTTCTATGACCTGTCACAGGTGCTGGATAAAGTGACCCCTCGGGATAGAGTCATCATGTTGGGTGCCTTCAATGCCCGAGTTGGTCATGATACTGGCACCTGGTCTGGAGTGATTGGAGGGCATGGGCCAGATCAGCTCAATAACAACGGTAGGAGGCTGCTAGATTTTTGTGCAGCCCATGGGCTTGTAATTACCAACACGCTGTTCCGGCATCGGCGCATCCACACAACATCATGGATGCATGCCGGGTCCAAGCAAGAACATCTGCTGGACTACATAGTGACGGACCAGCGGATGCGAGCCCATGTCCTTGACACCAGGACCTACCGTGGAGCTGATCTGCCCTCTGACCATCGACTAGTCATCTGTAAGATGCGCCTGCCATTCTTCCACTCCGGTGGTGGGTGTACACCCAGGACCCCATTCCGACCTAAAGTGGCCTGGTCTCAGTTATCTCATGAAAGTTGCAAGCGAGAATTTCATAATCGCTTGCTGCTGGGATTGGCATCGTCCCCGACTCCCCCTGATGTCGAGGGTAAATGGGCGAGGTTTAGGACTGTGACTCATGCAGCTGCAATGGCTGCTTTGGGTACGCGGTCCAGACCTCCCCAGAGACCCTGGCTGACAGAGGAGGTGTTCAGGATGGTTGAGAAAAAGCGACAGGCCCACTGTCATCGGCTACAAAATCCCACGTCAGAGAATGAGGAGGCTTACCGCAGCCTTCACTCGGAGGTTCGGAGATCTGTGAGGCGCTGCAAGGATGGGTGGTGGTCGAGGGTTGCTGAGGAGATCGAGTCTGCCTCAGTGGCCCGTGATCACAAATCTCTATTTAACTCCATCAAAAAAGTAACCTGCAGCGCCACACCTATTACCATCATTAGGGGAAAAAACGGTGATCCAATCTCCGACCCCCAGGAACAGGTTCGCAGATTTGCTGAGCATTTCTGTGAGGTCCTGGGGGAGGGAAAATCCCACAGCCAGGAAAACATCGTGGCACAAGGTGAGGATGACCCTGCTGAGGCTGCGGTGCCTCAAATATTGGAAGAAGTCACCCCCTGTGAGTGGCTGGCTGAGGTGCCATCTGCTGAGGAAGTATTGAAGGCGATCCGGAGTCTGAGACCAGGAAAGGCAGCGGGCAGAGATGATCTCCCAAGCGAAATGCTGAGGGAGGGTGGCGTTTGTGCACAGATTGCCCTATATGACATCATAACAACAGTCTGGACCACTGGACGGGTTCCGCAGGATTGGAAGGATGCCCTGGTGGTCCCCCTTTTTAAGAAGGGGGACCGCACAGACTGTAACAACTACAGGGGCATCTCACTCCTCAGTGTGCCGGGAAAGGTCCTGGCAAGGATTATTCAGCATCGCCTTGCCAGGCACGCTGAGGAGAGGCTTGCGGAGCCCCAATGCGGTTTCAGGAAAGGGCGGTCCTGCACAGATGCCATATTTTCTGTCCGTCTGCTACAGCAGAGGTGTAGGGAATTCCAACAAGACCTACATCTCTGCTTTATTGACCTGGTCAAGGCCTATGATACCATCAGTAGGCCTGGGCTCTGGGTCGTTCTTCGTGCTTTTGGAGTACCTGACCCTCTGCTCACGATCATTAAGGACCTTCATGATGGTGAGCGGGCCCGGGTAAAACTACGTGGCCGGGAGTCAGAGCCATTCCCTGTTCACCTTGGGGTGCGACAGGGATGTCCTCTGGCTCCCACATGATTTAACATCTATTTTGACCACGTAGTTCGTGAGGCCTTCAATAGCTGTACCGGGGGAATCTCCATATGGTACAGATATAATGGGAGGCTGATCGATGCCTGGGTGCGGTCAAGGGATGGCTCCCTATTGGTCAACCACGTTATGTATGCTGATGATTTGGTAATAGCTGCTCAGTCAGAGGAGGAGTTGGAGACGCTGCTGCTGAGACTGGAGCGTGCCACTAAGAGGTGGGGCTTTACCATCAGCCCCACCAAAACTAAGCACCTGCCTGGGTATTTTGTACCATCGGACACTCCACCCCCACAACTCCCAATCGGTGATGGGGCAGTTGTGGAGAGAGTGGAGAGTTTCCCATACCTGGGTAGTGTGCTTATGACTGGCTCCAGTTTAACAGCAGAGGTCTCACTCCGAATCAGTCGAGCGGCAATATATTTTCATCGGTTGCGTAACGCTGTGTGGAAGCTACCTGGTCTGTCGCTCCGCACTAAGCTTCAGGTCTTCTCGGCCACGGTCATTCCCTCCCTTCTCTACGTTTGCGAAACGTGGACCCCCCTAATGGAACATCTTCGCCGGTTAGAAACATTTAGGCTGGCCTGCCTACGATCCATCCTGGGTTTAACCAGACTGGATTGTGTGAGGAGCTCACAAATCCTTGAAAGATCTGGGCAAGGTCCCATCGGTGAGCTCCTCCGGCGGGCAAGGCTGCGATGGCTGGGTCATGTAGCCCGCATGCCCAGCCAACGCATGCCGAAACAGCTTTTGTTCGGCCGGATTGAGGGGGCTAAGCGGGCGCGGCACGGGCTAGAGAGGAGATGGAGTGATGGGTACGGGAGGACGTGGAGCTGAGGGGACTTGCCGATGACTTGTACCAGCGGTGTCAAGATCTACCTCTGTGGAGGAGGCTCGTGAAGGATGCTACTGGGCAGTTGGAGGCAGTCGCCCTCCAACTTCAACGGAGGGCGGAGGAGCGACGCTCACAACAACGAGCGGAGCGCCGGGTGGCTAAAGCACAGCAGGTTGGCACAGTAGGGGGCACAGGTGGTGCATCAGCCAGTCATCTCAGTCAGTCGACCCGTGGCACCTGGGTCTGCCCCGTGACCTCCTGCCAGCGGGCGTTCGACACTTCACGTGGCCTCAAGGTGCACATAGCCTGGCACAAGCGTCGTGGTGACGTCACCGCCACTTAGTGGCGAATTGCGGTTGTTGTTGTCTGTGTGTGTCTGTGTGTGTCTCTGCGTGTGTCTGTGTGTGTCTCTGTGTGTGTGTGTCTGTGTCTGTGTACCTGTGTGTGTGTGTCTGTGTGTGTATGTATATGTGTCTGTGTGTGTATGTATATGTGTCTGTGTGTGTGTGTCTGTGTCTGTGTGTGGTTCTGTGTGTGTATGTATATGTGTCTGTGTGTGTCTGTGTGTGATGAGGTGAGGTGCCCCCTTTGTCTCTCCCAGCTGCGACTGTGGAGGCAGCTGAGGAGGTGCGGGAAGCTCCCCCTGACGACGTCACTGCCCTGTGCCGGGACATGTTCACAAAGATGTCCGCCTACCTGCACGGGGAGCTTGCGGGTTCGGTACTCAATACTCACCCACTCACCTCACTCACTACTCACCCACTCACTCACTCACTGCTCACCCACTCACTCACCTGCTCACTCACCATCTCACTCACCCACTCACTCACCCACTCACTCCGACACTCACACACCCACTCACTCACTCACACATTCACCCACTCACTCACCTGCTCACTCACCCACTCACTCACCCACTCACTCACCTGCTCACTCACCCACTCACTCACCCACTCACTCATACACTCACTCACCTACTCACTCACCCACTCACCTCACTACTCACCCACTCACCCACTCACTCGCTCACCCACTCACCCACTCACCCACTCACTCACTCACCCACTCACTCACTCACTCACCCACTCACCCACTCACACACTCACACACCACTCACCCATCCACTCACTCATTCACCCACTCACTCACCCACTCACTCACACAGCCACTCACCTCACTACTCACCAACTCACTCACCCACTCACTCACCCACTCACTCACCCACTCACCCACTCACTCACCCACTCACCCACCTACCCACTCACCCACTCACTCACACACCCACTCATTCACTCACCTACCCACCCACTCGCTCACTCGCCCACTCACCCACCTACCCACTCACCCACCTACCCACTCACCCACTCACCCACTGTTGGTGGTGATGGTTGTTGTCATGAGTGTGGTTATGTTGTGGTTGTGATGAGTGTGGTTTTTACTGTGATTGTGGTCATGTGCTGTGGTGGTGGTTATTGTTGTGGTGGTTGTGGTTGTTGTGATGGCTGTGGTTGTTGTGATGAGCATTACTGTGATTGTGGTCATTTGGTTGTTGTGACGGTGGTGGTTGTTGTGATGGTCGTATTGTGGTGATGGTGGTTATTGTGGTTGTGATTGTAGTTGTGATGATTGTGGTTGTGATTGTTGTGGTTGTTCTGATGGCTATCGTTGCTGTGGTGGTTATGGTTGTGATTGTGATTATGTGGTTGTGATGGTTGTGTTTGCGATTGTGTGATAGTGATTTGTGGTGGTTGTGGCGGTTGTTGTGGTTGTTGTGATTGTTGTGATGAGTATTACTGTGATTGTGGTCATTTGGTTGTTGTGACGGTGGTAGTTGTTGTGATGGTTGTGGTTGTTGTGTTGTGGTGATAGTGGTTATTGTGGTTGTTGTGATGGTTGTGGTTGTTGTGGTGATAGTGGTTGTTGTGGTTGTTGTGGTGATAGTGGTTGTTGTGTTGTGGTAATAGTGGTTATTGTGGTTGTTGTGGTGATAGTGGTTGTTGTGGTTGTTGTGATGGTTGTTGTGTTGTGGTGATAGTGGTTGTTGTGGTTGTTGTGATGGTTGTGGTTGTTGTGGTGATAGTGGTTGTTGTGGTTGTTGTGATGGTTGTTGTGATGGTTGTTGTGTTGTGGTGATAGTGGTTGTTGTGGTTGTTGTGATGGTTGTGGTTGTTGTGGTGATAGTGGTTAGTGTGGTGGTGTTGCTGTGGTTGTGGTTGTTGTGGTGGTAGTGGTTGTTGTGTTGGTTGTGGTTGTTGTGGTGATAGTGGTTAGTGTGGTGATAGTGGTTGTTATGCTTGTTGTGGTGATAGTGGTTATTGTGGTGGTGTTGCTGTGGTTGTTGTGATAGTGGTTATTGTGGTTGTTGTGTTGTGGTGATAGTGGTTATTGTGGTTGTTGTGATGGTTCTGGTTGTGGTTGTTGTGGTGATAGTGGTTGTTGTGGTTGTTGTGATGGTTTTTGTTGTGGTTGTTGTGGTGACAGTGGTTATTGTGGTGGTGTTGCTGTGGTTGTTGTGGTGATAGTGGTTGTGGTTGTTGTGGTGATAGTGGTTGTGGTTGTTGTGGTGATAGTGGTTGTGGTTGTTGTGGTGATAGTGGTTGTGGTTGTTGTGGTGATAGTGGTTGTGGTTCTTGTGGTGATAGTGGTTGTGGTGTTGCTGTAGTGGTGCTGTGTTGTTGTGATGGTTGTAGTTGTTGTTGTGGTTGTTGCTGTGGTGTTGTAGTGATGGTTGTGGTTGTTGTTGTGGTTGTTATGGTGGTGTTGTTGTGTTGTTGTGATGGTTGTGGTTGTTGTGGTTGTTGTGATGGTTGTGGTTGTTGTTGTGGTGGTGCTGTGTTGTTGTGATGGTTGTGGTTGTTGTTGTGGTTGTTGCTGTGGTGGTGCTGTGGTTGTGGTTGTTGTGGTTGTTGTTGTGGTTGTTGTTGTGATGGTTGTGGTTGTTGTTGTTGTTGTGGTTGTTATGGTGGTGTTGTTGTGTTGTTGTGATGGTTGTGGTTCTTGTGGTGATAGTGGTTGTGGTGTTGCTGTAGTGGTGCTGTGTTGTTGTGATGGTTGTAGTTGTTGTTGTGGTTGTTGCTGTGGTGTTGTAGTGATGGTTGTGGTTGTTGTTGTGGTTGTTATGGTGGTGTTGTTGTGTTGTTGTGATGGTTGTGGTTGTTGTGGTTGTTGTGATGGTTGTGGTTGTTGTTGTGGTGGTGCTGTGTTGTTGTGATGGTTGTGGTTGTTGTTGTGGTTGTTGCTGTGGTGGTGCTGTGGTTGTGGTTGTTGTGGTTGTTGTTGTGGTTGTTGTTGTGATGGTTGTGGTTGTTGTTGTTGTTGTGGTGGTGCTGTGGTGGTGCTGTGTTGTGATGGTTGTGGTTGTTGTTGTCGTTGTTGTGATGGTTGTGGTTGTTGTTGTGGTTGTTGTGATGTTTGTTATGATGGTTGTTGTTGTGGTTGTTGTTGTGGTTGTTGTTGTGGTTGTTGTGATGGTTGTTGTGATGGTTTTTGTTGTGGTTGTTGTGGTTGTTGTTGTGGTTGTTGTGATGGTTGTTGTTGTTGTTGTGGTGGTGCTGTGTTGTTGTGATGGTTGTGGTTGTTGTGGTTGTTGTGATGGTTGTGGTTGTTGTTGTAGTTGTTGTGATGGTTGTAGTTATTGTTGTTGTTGTTGTGGTTGTTGTGTTGCCAGCCACGTGCGGTGACTACCGGCTGCTGGAGCAGCTGAACCGTCTCACGGCACGGAGCTACGGCGAGATGGGGGAGCAGGCACGGAGCGTGCACGGCAGGCTCAGCACGCTCACTCAGCAGTGTGAGTGACACTCAGAGACTCATAGACACCCATAGAGACCCATAGAGACTCATAGACACCCATAGAGACTCATAGACACCCATAGAGACCCATAGACACTCATAGAGACCCATAGAGACCCATAGAGACCCACGGCAGGCTCAGCACGCTGACTCAGCAGTGTGAGACCCACGGAGACTCATAGACACCCATAGAGACCCATAGAGACTCATAGAGACTCATAGACACTCATAGAGACCCATAGAGACTCATAGACACCCATAGAGACCCGCAGAGACTCATAGAGACCCATAGAGACCCACGGCAGGCTCAGCACGCTCACTCAGCAGTGTGAGACCCATAGAGACCCATAGAGACCCATAGAGACTCATAGAGACCCATAGACACCCATAGAGACCCATAGAGACCCACGGCAGGCTCAGCACGCTCACTCAGCAGTGTGAGTGACACTCAGAGACTCATAGAGACTCATAGACATCCATAGAGACCCACAGAGACTCATAGACACCCATAGAGACCCACAGAGACTCATAGAGACCCATAGACACTCATAGAGACCCATAGAGACCCATAGAGACCCATAGACACTCATAGAGACCCATAGAGACCCATAGAGACCCATAGACACTCATAGAGACTCATAGAGACTCATAGACACCCATAGAGACCCATAGAGACCCACGGCAGGCTCAGCACGCTCACTCAGCAGTGTGAGACCCACAGAGACTCATAGAGACCTATAGAGACTCATAGAGACGCACGGCAGGCTCAGCACGCTCACTCAGCAGTGTGAGACTCACAGAGACTCATAGACACCCATAGACACCCATAGAGACCCATAGAGACTCATAGAGACTCATAGAGACGCACGGCAGGCTCAGCACGCTCACTCAGCAGTGTGAGTGAGACTCAGAGACTCATAGACACCCATAGAGACCCGCAGAGACCCATAGACACCCATAGAGACTCAACACACTCACTCAGCAGTGTGGGTGAACATAGAGACTCAGACACCTATAGAGACTCACAGAGACTCATAGAGACCCACAGAAACTCATAGAGACCCACAAGGACTCAGACACCGATAGAGACCCACAGAGACCATAGAGACTCATAGACACCCATAGATAATCATAGAGACCATAGAACACCAATAGACACTCATAGATAACCATAGACACCCATAGAGACCCATAGACACGCACGGAAACTCTCTCTCTCCCCATGTCTCTTCTCTCTTCCCGTGTGTCTCTCTGTGTGTCTCTCTCTCTCCCCGTGTCTCTCTCTCCCCGTGTCTCTCTCTCCCCGTGTCTCTCTCTCCCCGTGTCTCTCTCTCCCCCCGTGTGTGTCTCTCTCTCTCCCCGTGTCTCTCTCCCCGTGTCTCTCTCCCCGTGTCTCTCTCCCCGTGTCTCTCTCTCCCCGTGTCTCTCTCTCCCCGTGTCTCTCTTCCCGTGTCTCTCTTCCTGCCCGTGTCTCTCTCTCTCCCTGCCCATGTCTCTCTCTCTCCCCCCGTGTCTCTCTCCCCGTGTCTCTCTCTCACCGTGTCTCTCTCCCCGTGTCTCTCTCCCCGTGTCTCTCTGTCCCCGTGTCTCTCTCTCCCCGTGTCTCTCTTCCCGTGTCTCTCTTCCTGCCCGTGTGTCTCTCTCTCCCTGCCCGTGTCTCTCTCTCTCTCCCTGCCCGTGTCTCTCTCTCTCTCCCTGCCCGTGTCTCCGTAGACGCAGCGCTGCAGCAGTGTCTCTCACAAGTGGACTCTGTGGAGCTGCAAGTGTCTCTGCTGGAGCAGGCCGCCTACAGACTCGACGCTCACTCCAAACGCCTCGGTAACACCGCCGAAGACAAAGCTCCCCCGGGTAGCCTCCCTTAGCAGGCTGTAGGAAGAAGTGGCGTTAGTGAGTAGCGACTAGCAGCAGCAGCTAGCAGCTAGCAGCAGCAGCAGCGCCTATGTACACACAGACACACACACACACGTAGACACACACTCGTACACACACACTCCACACACTCACGCGCACACTCACACATCAACAACAACAACAACAACCGCCGTTCGCCACTAAGCGGCGGCAACGTCACCACGACGCTCGTGCCAGGCTATGTGCACCTTGAGGCCATCGCGCGAAGTGTCGAACGCCCGCTGGCAGGAGGTCGTCACGGGGCAGACCCAGCAGGTGCCACGGATCGACTGACTGAGATGACTGAGATGACTGGCTGATGCACCACCTGTGCCCCCCTACTGTGCCAACCCGCTGTGCCCTAGTCACCCGGCGCTCCGCTCGTTGTTGTGAGCGTCGCTCCTCCGCCCTCCGTTGTTGTTGGAGGGCGACTGCCTCCAACTGCCCAATAGCAGCGTCCTTCACGAGCCTCCTCCACAGAGGCCGATCTTGACACCGGAAAGTCCACTCAGCTCCACGTCCTCCCGTACCACATCACTCCATCTCTTCTCTAGCCCGTGCCGCGCCCGTTTAGCCCCCTCAATCCGGCCGAACAAAAGCTGCTTCGGCATGCGGTGGCTGGGCATGCGGGCTACATGACCCAGCCAACGCAGCTTTGCCTGCCTGATGAGCTCACAGATGGGACTTTGTCCAGACCTTTCAAGGATTTGTGAGCTCCTCGCACAATCCAGCCTGGTTAAACCCAGGATGGATCGTAGGCGAAGATGTTCCATTAGGGGGGTCCATGTTTGGCAAGCGTAGAGAAGGGACGGCATGACTGTGGACAAGAAGATCTGAAGATTTGTGTGGAACGACAGAACAGGTAGCTTCCACACAGCGTTACGCAACCAATGAAGAGATAATACCGGCCGACCGATTTAGAGTGAGACCTCTGCTGTCAAACCTTGGTGCCAGTCATGAGCACACCTCCCAGGTATGGGAAATTCTCCACTCTCTCCACAAACTGCCCCATCACCAGTTGGGAGTTGTGGGGGTGGAGTGTTTGATGGTACAAAATACCCGGGCAGGTGCTTAGTTTTGGAGGGGCTGATGGTAAGGCCCCACCTCTTAGTGGCACGCTCCAGTCTCAGCAGCAGTGCCTCAAACTCTTCCTCTGAGTGAGCAGCAATCACCAGATCATCGGCATACAAAACGTGGTTGACCAATAGAGAATCATCTCTTGACCGTACCCGGGCATCGATCAGCCTCCCATTGTATCTGTACCAGATGGAAATTCCTCCGGTACAGCCATAATAATGTGGGAGCCAGAGGACATCCCTGTCGCACCCCAAGGGGAACAGGGAATGGCTCCGGCTCTCGGCCACGTAGTTTTACCCGGGCCCGCTCACCATCACGAAGGTCCTTAATGATCGTGAGCAGCGAGTCAGGGACTCCGAAACCACAAAGAACAACCCAGAGCCCAGGCCTACTGATGGTATCATAGGCCTTGACCAGGTCAATACAGCAGAGATGTATTTCTTGCTGGAATTCCCTACACCTCTGCTGTAGCAGACGGACGGAAAATATGGCGTCCGTGCAGGACCGCCCTTTCCTGAAACCGCATTGGGGCTCCGCAAGCCTCTCCTCAGCATGGTGCCTGGCGAGGCGATGTTGAATAATCCTTGCCAGGGACCTTTCCCGGCCTCACACTGAGGAGTGACTTGCCCCTGTAGTTGTTACAGTCTGTGCGGTTCCCCTTCTTAAAGAGGGGGACCACCAGGGCATGCTGTGGACTGCAGCGGCCCCCAACCTTTTTGGCAACAGCGACCGGTTTCGTGGAAGACAATTTTTTTTCACGGACCGGGGGGGGCGGGGGGGCGCGCGGGGGGGGGGGGGGGTGTTCATCATTGGGTCTTTCCCCCTTTTCGTAGAAGGTCTCCAGCGACGTTAGTCTGTTACTCATCGTGGCCACTAGGGGGGGGGCTTAGAGCCTGTGGGCTTCACACCAACACCACGTGACTGGGCGCAGTGCGGGAAGGAGGCGCGGACGGAAGTGGTGAATAAGATCCAACGCACCAGAACGCCGGCGGAGTCGCCGTTTGGAAGCGATATTTGCCAACATTTCTCTTCTTTCTTTTTTGCCCCCCCGGCAACCGAACGGCCTGACGCCTGCCCAGATAAAGGTTTTTCACCGTGCGGTAAACACCTCTTGAGGTGAGTCGCTGGTCAGGAAGGGTGGGGGTGGTGGTGGTGGGGTGGGGTGGTGGTGGGCTGGGCTACGTGCGGACTCGCCGCTCTCACCTCCTGCCGCTGTGCGGGCCCGGTGCCTATCAGGCCACGGAACGCTACCGGAGCGATTGGAAGGCATGGGCCAGATCAACTCGGTAACGTTCCAAACAACGCGCGAGAGAGCACGTTTACAGGTTGGGGTGTGGGTGGGGTGGGTGGGTGGGTGGGGGGGTGGGGGGGTGGGTGGGTGGGGGGGTGGGTGGGTGGATGGGTAGGGGGGTGGATGGGTAGGGGGGTGGATGGGTAGGGGGGTGGATGGGTGGGGGGGTGGATGGGTGGGGGGGTGGATGGGTGGGGGGGTGGATGGGTGGGGGGGTGGATGGGTGGGGGGGTGGATGGGTGGGGGGGTGGATGGGTAGGGGGGTGGATGGGTGGGGGGGTGGATGGGTAGGGGGGTGGATGGGTAGGGGGGTGGATGGGTAGGGGGGTGGATGGGTAGGGGGTGGATGGGTAGGGGGGTGGATGGGTAGGGGGGTGGATGGGTAGGGGGGTGGATGGGTGGGGGGTGGATGGGTGGGGGGGTGGATGGGTGGGGGGGTGGATGGGTAGGGGGGTGGATGGGTGGGGGGTGGATGGGTGGGGGGGTGGATGGGTGGGGGGGTGGATGGGTGGGGGGGTGGATGGGTGGGGGGGTGGATGGGTAGGGGGGTGGATGGGTAGGGGGGTGGATGGGTAGGGGGGTGGATGGGTAGGGGGGTGGATGGGTAGGGGGGTGGATGGGTGGGGGGGTGGATGGGTGGGGGGGTGGATGGGTGGGGGGGTGGATGGGTGGGGGGGTGGATGGGTGGGGGGGTGGATGGGTGGGGGGGTGGATGGGTAGGGGGGTGGATGGGTAGGGGGGTGGATGGGTAGGGGGGGTGGATGGGTAGGGGGGTGGATGGGTAGGGGGGGTGGGTGGGTAGGGGGGGTGGGGTCACGTTTAGCGCCTCGTCTGGCTGCCCTGCGCTACGTGGTTCAGCTTGGGCGCGAATCGGCCCGGGATCGGCGGCGATTTCGGAGGAGCGTGGCGGGGCCGGCCTGCGGCAACGGGGGCGGCGGGCAGGCCGAGGGGATCCCGTGGCGACGGGCTCCTTCCTGGAGCGAGGGTTTTTCCCCTCGTCCAAGCCCGTAGCGTGGGGCAGATCCGACAAAAATGGGAGAGCTTTTTTTTTTTTTCATTTTCATATTTGCTTGCCAGCATCAAAGTTTACGAAAAGAATGAGGATGGGTTTGTTTGCTAATTGTTTTTTTGTTTGTTTGTTACACCCTTGTATCCGGCAGCAAGGCTGACACCTTTTTTTGTTTGACAAGGAGTCGTGTTTGTGCATTGGACACAATTACCTGCGGTCGGATTGCAAGCAAATAACATAACTAGGAATAGGTTTTTACCCTTTTAACTGGCACAAAAACTGACACCTTTATTCAAGGCGTCGTGTTTGCAATAGCCACAACACAAGCAGTCAAAATGCAAACAAAAAGAGACAACTCTGATAATAATATTGGCACTGTCCTTGAATTTGATTGGTCCACACCAGAGACGGCTTTTCTTAGAGCCCTTTAGTCTCCACTGGTGTTGGACCAGAAGACGCCATGTGGCGTACAACTCAAAAACAGCGCCACCATCAGAATATTGAGGGCTCGGGGTGAGCATTTACGTTATGAGACCTCATCCTTTGCCAGTAACAAGATATAGTTACTGGCAAAGGAGGTCTCATAAAATAACACAACTCTGACAATGTATCGGCACTGTCCTTGAAATCGATTGGTTCCCCCCCTGAGACAGCTTTCCTTAGAAGCCCAGTCTCACACTGGTGTTGGACCAGAAGACGCCAAAAGGCGCACAACTTAAAAGCAAAACCCCCATCAGAGTGTGAGAGCTCGGGGTGAAGCATTGACGCCATTGGAGACCTCATTTGCCAGTAGCAAAATATGAGAATTCGTTTTTTTTACCCCTTGTATCTGGCAGCAAAACTGACACCTTTTTTTTTGACAAGGAGTCATGTTTACATTGACCACAATACCTGCGGTCGGAATGCAAACAAAAAACAACAACTACTCTGATAATGTATCGGCACTGTCCTTGAAATCGATTGGTCCACACCCAGGACAGCTTTCCTTAGAGCCCAGGTATTTGCTACCGGCAAAGGAGGTTCTGAGGATGGGTTTATTTTACCCCTTTCTGACAGCAGAGTCGTGTTAAGATAATAATTGTTTTGTTTTTAACTCTTTCTGGTCACGATTAAACGGTTACATTTTGATTGGAAGCTTTCGTGACTGCAGGGATTCGTATTGTTGGTTCGTTTCGGTAAAGTCACCGCCGCGTAAGAAGGGAAATAATGAAATAATACAAATACAACATGATGAAATAATAACCAATAAGACGTAGTAAAATAAAAATATATATATAATTAAAATAAGAACCAAGAAGACCACTTGCAGATGTGAAGTTTGTTTCGGTGAAGTCAGGTGGGTTAAAAAAATTTTTTAAATACATATACAAAAACAAAACATTTTTTTTTTAAAACCATCAAGTTACTGCGTTGACCACATACACACAGCAACAACAACAACAACAACCGCCATTCGCCACTAAGTGGCGGTGACGTCACCACGACGCTTGTGCCAGACTATGTACACCCTGAGGCCACGTGAAGTGTCGAACGCCCGCTGGCAGGAGGTCACGGGGCAGACCCAGCAGGTGCCACGGGTCGACTGACTGAGATGAGTGGCTGATGCACCACCTGTGCCCGCTACTGTGCCAACCTGCTGTGCTTTAGCCACCCGGCGCTCCGCTCGTTGTTGTGAGCGTCGCTCCTCCGCCCTCCGTTGTTGTTGGAGGGCGACTACTTCTAACTGCCCAGTAGCGTCCTTCACGAGCCTCCTCCACAGAGGCCGATCTTGACACCGCTGGTACCGGTCATCGGCAAGTCCACTCAGCTCCACGTCCTCCCGTACCACATCACTCCATCTCTTCTCTAGCCCGTGCCGCGCCCGCTTAGCCCCCTCAATCCGGCCGAACAAAAGCTGTTTCGGCATGCGGTGGCTGGGCATGCGGGCTACATGACCCAGCCATCGCAGCCTTCTCCGCCGGAGGAGCTCACCGATGGGACCCTGCCCAGATCTTTCAAGGATTTGTGAGCTCCTCACACAATCCAGTCTGGTTAAACCCAGGATGGATCGTAGGCAGGCCAGCCCTACATGTTTCTAACCGGCGAAGATGTTCCATTAGGGGGAAACCACGAGTTAAACTGAAATACACACACGCACACACACAGAGTACTTCCTGGTGAACATGCAAGCAGACACGCGCTCCGATCATTTCAAAATCCAACAAATACTCTTCCGCATTACCGCGAAGGATACTGCAGACGATGCCAGGTGAGGCGTTCCGCGCTCGTGCGGCGATGAAATTTTAGTTTTTGTTGTTGTTTTGTTTTTGTTGTTGTTGTTAGTTTTTGTTGTTAGTTTTTGTTGTTGTTGTACTACAAGTCGCAATGACGGGGGTTCTTATGGGCCGGAATCCAGAGGGCATCGTAGAGCGGAATGGTGTGTGGGGATGAGCTCATTCAGCGTTCCATCATCAGCGTCAACAGCAGCATCAGTAACAGCATCATCGGCAGTAGCAGCAGCAGCAGCGTCATCGGCAATGTCATAGTTTAAGGATGGCCATGTCTCTCATCCATCTCCCCGTTGTCTCTCATCTCTCCCTGTGGCTCTCTCCCCGTGTCTCTCTCTCTCCCCGTGTCTCTCTCCCCGTGTCTCTCTCTCCCTGTGTCTCTCTCTCCCCGTGTCTCTCTCTCCCCGTGTCTCTCTCTCCCCGTGTCTCTCTCTCTCTCCCTGTGGCTCTCTCCCCGTGTCTCTCTCTCTCCCCGTGTCTCTCTCCCCGTGTCTCTCTCCCCGTGTCTCTCTCCCCGTGTCTCTCTCCACCTTCTGTCTCCTAGAAGCAAAGTTCAAGAAACTGGAGAAGAGATGAGCAGACACACACTTACACTCACTCACACACACACTTACACATACACTCACACACACTCACTCACTCACTCATACACTCACTCACACTCACTCACACACACTCACACACTCACACACACTTACTCACACACTTACTCACTCACACATACACTCACACACACATTCACACACACATACACTCACTCACACATACACTCACTCACACACTTACTCACTCACACATACACTCACACACTTACTCACTCACACACTTACTCACTCACACACTTACTCACACACTTACTCACTCACACACTTACTCACACACACACTCACTCACACATACACTCACACACACACTTACTCACTCACACACTTACTCACTCACACATACACTCACTCACACACACACTCACTCACACACTCACTCACACACACACTCACACACACACTCACTCACACACACTTACTCACTCACACACACTTACTCACTCACACACTTACTCACACACTCACTCACATACACTCACTCACACATACACTCACTCACACACTCACTCACACATACACTCACTCACACATACACTCACTCACACATACACTCACTCACACATACACTCACTCACACACACACTCACTCACACACTCACACACACAGACACTCACACACACAGACACTCACTCACACACTTACTCACACACACACTCACTCACACATACACTCTCACACACTCACACATACACTCACTCACACACACATACACTCACTCACACACACATACACTCACTCACACACACTTACTCACACACACTCACTCACACATACACTCACACATACACTCACGCATACACTCACTCACACACACTCACACTCACACACTCACATACACACTCACATACTCGCACACACTCACTCATACACACACTCACACACACTCATACACACACTCACACACACAACAACAACCGCCATTCACCACTAAGTGGCGGTGACGTCACCACGACGCTTGTGCCAGGCTATGTGCACCCTGAAGCCACGTGAAGTGTCGAACGCCCACTGGCAGGAGGTCACGGGGCAGACCCAGCAGGTGCCACGGGTCGACTGACTGAGATGACTGGCTGATGCACCACCTGTGCCCCCTACTGTGGCAACCTGCTGTGCTTTAGCCACCCGGCGCTCCGCTCGTTGTTGTGAGCGTCGCTCCTCCGCCCTCCGTTGTTGTTGGAGGGCGGCTGCCTCCAACTGCCCAGTAGCATCCTTCACGAGCCTCCTCCACAGAGGCCGATCTTGACACCGCTGGTACCAGTCATCGGCAAGTCCACTCAGCTCCACGTCCTCCTGTACCACATCACTCCATCTCTTCTCTGGCCCGTGCCGCGCCCGCTTAGCCCCCTCAATCCGGCCGAACAAAAGCTGTTTCGGCATGCGGTGGCTGGGCATGCGGGCTACATGACCCAGCCATCGCAGCCTTCCCCGCCGGAGGAGCTCACCGATGGGACCTTGCCCAGATCTTTCAAGGATTTGTGAGCTCCTCATACAATCCAGCCTAGTTAAATCCAGGATGGATCGTAGGCAGGCCAGCCCTAAATGTTTCTAACCAGCGAAGATGTTCCATACACTCACTCACACACTCACATACACACATACACAACAACAACTGCCATTCACCACTAAGTGGCGGTGACGCCACCACATACACACACTCACACACCCTGACACACACACACCCACTCACACTCACTCCCACGCACCCTGACACACACACCCACTCACACTCACCCTGACACACTCACCCTGACACACACTCACCCTGACACACTCACACATACACTCACCCACTCACTCCCACTCACCCTGACACACACACCCACTCACTTTCTCACCCACTCGCTCTCACTCCCACGCACCCTGACACACTCACACACACACTCACCCACTCACTCTCTCACACACACACACCCACTCACTCACACACACTCATTCCCACTCACCATGACACACTCACACATACACTCACCCACTCACCCTCATACTCACCCTCACACACTCACACACACTCAAACACAGACTCACCCACTCACTCTCTCACCCACTCACTCACACTCACTCCCACTCATCCTCATCCTGACACACTCACTCCCACTCACCCTGATACACACACACACCCACTCACACTCTCACCCACTCACACTCACTCCCACTCACCCTGACACACTCCCACTCACCCTGACACACACACACACTCACCCACTCACTCACTCCCACTCATCCTGACACACTCACCCACTCACTCTCTCACCCACTCACTCACACTTACCCACCCACTCACTCTCTCACCCACTCTCTCACCCACTCACTCACCCACTCACTCACACTCACCCACCCACTCACTCTCCACACATAAAGCCAAAGTTCCCCCTTGTAGCCCACACAGGCTGCAGGAGCAAGTGCTGTTTTGCGAGCACCTCTGAAGGCTACCGGCACTGTGTCACACAGAGGGGGTGGGTGGCCAGCACCACGCCCGGTCCGCCTTTGTCTCCCCAGTACTGGTGTTTGTTACACGCCGCACCAGGTAACTCATTTGAGGCTGAGTCGACCTAGGGGAGGCCCAGGATCTGTTCAGATTATCGTCACCGATTTTGACTGTGAACGGGAATGGAACTCTGGTGGCCAGGTTCGTGGTACAGCGTAGCGCTAACCGCTGCACCAATACTCCTCACACACACACACGCGCACATGTACATTATTAGTTTGTGTTGACCTGTGGAGTAATTGGTGATAAATAAATAATCAAATCTTCCTCTTGCCCTGTGTCCACTCACGCGCACACGGATACAGACGCACAACAACAACCGCCATTCGCCACTAAGTGGCGGTGATGTCACCACGACGCTTGTGCCAGGCCACGTGCACCTTGAGGCCACGTGAAGTGTCGAACGCCCGCTTGCAGGAGGTCACGGGGCAGACCCAGCAGGTGCCACGGGTCGACTGACTGAGATGAGTGGCTGATGCACCACCTGTGCCCCCTACTGTGCCAATTTGCTGTGCTTTAGCCACCCGGCGCTCCGCTCGTTGTGAGCGTCGCTTCTCCACCCTCAGTTGTTTTGGAGGGCGACTGCCTCCAACTGCCCAGTAGCATCCTTCACGAGCCTCCTCCACAGAGGCCGATCTTGACACCGCTGGTACCGGTCATCGGCAAGTCCACTCAGCTCCACGTCCTCCTGTACCACGTCACTCCATCTCTTCTCTAGCCCGTGCCGCGCCCGTTTAGCCCCCCCAATCCGGCCGAACAAAAGCTGTTTCGGCATGCAGTGGCTGGGCATGCGGGCTACATGACCCAGCCATCGCAGCCTTCCCCACCGGAGGAGCTCACCGATGGGACCTTGCCCAGATCTTTCAAGGATTTGTGAGCTCCTCACACAATCCAGTCTGGTTAAACCCAGGATGGATCGTAGGCAGGCCAGCCTAAATGTTTCTAACCGGCGAAGATGTTCCATTAAGGGGGTCCACGTTTCACAAGCGTAGAGAAGGGAGGGAATGACCGTGGCCGAGAAGACCTGAAGCTTAGTGCGGAGCGACAGACCAGGTAGCTTCCACACAGCGTTACGCAACCGATGAAAAGATATTGCCGCTCGACTGATTCGGAGTGAAACCTCTGCTGTTAAACTGGAGCCGGTAATAAGCACACTGCCCAGGTATGGGAAACTCTCCACTCTCTCCACAACTGCCCCATCACCGATTGGGAGTTGTGGGGGTGGAGTGGTCCGATGGTACAAAATACCCAGGCAGGTGCTTAGTTTTGGTGGGGCTGATGGTAAGGCCCCACCTCTTAGTGGCACGCTCCAGTCTCAGCAGCAGCGCCTTGACATGCGATTTTCTGGATTTTCTTGTTGTTATTCTGTCTCTCGCTGTGCAAATAAACCTACCATTAAAATTATAGACTGGTCATTTCTTTGTCAGTGAGCAAACGTACAAAATCAGCAGGGGATCAAATACTTGGTTTGCCCTCACCGTACATACGAACCACTCACACAGACACGTGGGTGAGTAGACGTAGAGTTGGAACAGGAGTAGGGGCCACAGCTGGAACGTCTACCAGCTGTGGTTCCTGCGAGCCTCCGACACTTCACGTCGCCTCAAGGTGAACCTGGCCTGGCACAGACACCGTGGTGACGTCACTCCTTGGCGAATGGCGGTTGTTTGTATTGTTGAGTGTATGGATGAGTGGGGGGGGTTGGTTGGGTGAGTGGATGGGTGAGTGAGTGGGTGAGTGGGTGAGTGGGTGAGTGAGTGAGTGGGTGAGTGAGTGAGTGGGTGAGGTGAGTGGGTGAGTGAGTGGGTGAGTGAGTGGGTAAGTGGGTGAGGTGAGTGGGTGAGTGAGTGGGTGAGTGGGTGGGTGAGTGAGTGGGTGAGTGAGTGGATGAGTGAGTGGAGTGAGTGAGTGAGTGGGGTGGGTGAGTGGGTGGGTGAGTGAGTGAGTGGGTGAGTGTGTGAGTGAGTGGGTGAGTGAGTGGATGAGTGGGTGGAGTGAGTGAGTGGGGTGGGTGAGTGGGTGGGTGAGTGAGTGAGTGGGTGAGTGTGTGAGTGAGTGGATGAGTGGGTGGAGTGAGTGAGTGAGTGGGGTGGGTGAGTGGGTGGGTGAGTGAGTGAGTGGGTGAGTGTGTGAGTGTGTGAATGAGTGGGTGAGTGAGTGAGTGGGTGAGTGAGTGAGTGGGTGAGTGAGTGAGTGGGTGAGTGAGTGGGTGTGTGAGTGAGTGGGTGAGTGAGCGAGTGGGTGAGTGAGCGAGTGGGTGAGTGAGCGGGTGGGTGGTTAGGTGAGTGAGTGGGTGGGTGAGTGAGTGGGTAAGTGGGGGAGTGAGTGAGCGGGTGAGTGAGTGAGTGGGTGAGTGAGTGGGTGTGTGAATGAGTGGGTGAGTGAGCGAGTGGGTGAGTGAGCGAGTGGGTGAGTGAGCGAGTGGGTAAGTGGGTGAGGTGGGTGAGTGAGCGAGTGGGTGAGTGAGTGGGTGGGTGAGTGAGAGTGAGCGAGTGGATGAGTGAGCGGGTGGATGAGTGAGCAGGTGGGTGGTTGGGTGAGTGAGTGGGTGGGTGAGTGAGTGGGTAAGTGGGTGAGTGAGTGAGCGGGCGAGTGAGTGG